GTGGGGCTGGGATAAACTATTATTTTTGAAACAATTAATCTAGCAATTATTTTTTTGATGCATCGATTAATCTAACAATTAATGTTTTCAGATCAATTCGATTTCAATTCGATTCGATTATCAAATATCTCCCCATTAATTGACTAATATCAATGTATACATGTTGATTTACATTAACAAAATATATGTATTGCTCTTAAAATTCAAAAATAAGACATTCTTAGTCAGGGGTAGCATAAAACCTTGAAGCCTTGAAAACACATCTAGCTTACTGAAAAAAAGGCATCTTATTATTCTTCCTTCAGATGAAAATAACACTTGATGTTTAGCATTAAATAAAATAAAAAATAAAACCAATGTAATCTTGAGGGCTTTAACCTAAGGAGAGAGTGCTTTTCTAGCAAAAGTTATGTTGAACATAGGCCTAGCTTACTGAAAAAATCATCTTCATTCACAAAAAACAAATAACAACTTAAACTTGGACACTTTCCTTTCCCGTTAAGAATACTGTCTGTCTCTTTGTGTGTGCATTCCTATATCCTACAGCCCGAGTTGTCAATCTCCAGTGACTAAACTAGCGCAGCTAACATGTAGCGCAGCCAGTATGTTCGCCGATGCGGAAGAACCATCTAATAATAAAATAAACTGATGCCGCACCTCCGTGAACACATACTGCTGTTATATAAAGTCTCTGGAAGGTCTCTGAACACAGAGACCTTCTGCCTTTTGGAGAAGAACTTTACACAAAAAGCTGCTAGCATAACATCGCTAGCTCCGCTAGCCTAACTCCGCTAGTTTAACTCCGACAGCCCAGGACTTCTGGTCTGAACACCCCTAGCCTCTGTAATTTAGAGAATGTGCGTCTACTGTGCGTGAAAACTCTGTTCCAGTGGCGGTCTGAACGCCCCATAAGGCGGCACTCGCGTACTACTGCTACTACTGCTACTACTGCTACTACTGCTACTACTGCTACTACTGCTACTACTCGCTGCCATCTTTGTTTTGAGTATGACGCATCGACGTGCATATTTTGTATCGACGTATTTTTTGCGCCGACATCATCGATTACATCGATGCGTTGTCCCAGCCCTAGTGTGGACACAATCTTCCAGTTGTATGTATTTATAAACAGAACTATTTTGAACCAACTTGGACAATATCACATTTTCAGGAAGACTGTTCCAGATTTTAGCTGCACAAATCTGAAATGTTTAGTCCTCCATCTACACCTGCAGACTGCCCTGCCCGACGCGCCTGGGAGCGCTTCAGTCTTGCACCGGACCTGTCCACGCTCTGCGGCCGCTGCGTGGCCTTGGTCTACGTTCTGTAGCTTAGGTACTGGATCTATAGCCCGTCCGTCCGTGTTGGAGCGGATCCCTTTCTCAAATGTGAGTCTCCCCGAGGTTTCTCACTTTTTTTCCCACTGGGTTTTTGTGAGTTTTTCCTTGCCGATGCAGGAGGGTCTGTTGGACAGTGTCCGACTAGAAGGACTGTGGTGATGATCCAGGACACTTTAACATTCTACAACATTTATTGACATTTATCAACATTCATGGACATCGGTCTCTTCCTATGAACCAATTCATATGTTTAAATTTTGTGTTTTAACTTTTGATTCTCTGATCTGTGTTGATGATTTCAATGGTTTTGTTAAGTCCTCTGAGATGACTTCTGTCATGATTTAGGGCTACACAAGAATAAGTTGTTGTTGTAGTCCTAACTGGGCACCAGCAGGAGCCATTCCCTGTGCTCCTCAGCAAAGGGTTCATATGTCATGGATGTACCTACGTACACGCAGGGCCATGGAGAGACTTGTGCACAACTCCTGAGCCGCAGGAAGCCAGTGCAGAGACCTGAGAACTGGACTGATGTGATACTCCCTCGGCGGGTACAGAATATCCCATTTTTAATTAACTTTTGCTCTTGCAGGTTTGGGGGATCAGTAAATAGGCCTGCCTGATCAGAAATACTCAATCCTGTAATATTGAGTAACTTCAAATGAAATATAGTTCAAGCCATAATTACTTTGAGCTACATTGAAAATGATGACTCACAAAATCCCAATCCTATGTTTTGTTTTTACTTTTGTAAAGCATTTTATTTTTATAGCACAATTTGTTCATAACATATTTCAAAGTGAACATACAATACATAAACAATACAATACATTTCTGCCAAAAAGAATAAATAACATTGAAAGATAAAAAGTAAATTAAGAAGTCATATGTACTGATGAACAAGGTTGATTTGAACCCAGACTTGAACATCATAATCTGACATCCCCAAGACCAAAACCTGGATGCATTAAATCTAAAATGAATAAATGAGAACATGCAAACTTCCGAAGAGGATCAGAACACCTTCTTGCAGAGAGACGACAGTGCTCACCACTCTGCCGTACAATAGTAGCTCTCTGCTCCACTAATATATTCAACTAACAAATTACCAGTGTTTTTTTTTTAATCCCACTTCTATTACTTGGCTTACTTAATCCAACAAATGGATGTTTTTGTCACGAGGTGGGAAGGAGGAGGACTCAAAATGCGAGAATGCCAAAATAAAGATTTAATAAAACAAAGTCCAAGGTAAAAACAAAACTCAAAATCCAAAATACGGAACCAGGAGCACAAAATCAGGAACAGGACGGCACAGAAGTAGACAATACAATGGACCAGCAACAAGAGGAGAGGAGCACAGGGTAGTTATAGACAGAGACACAGGTGAAACACATTAGGGCGGGGCAGACAAACAAGACAGGGGAAACAGGACGTCAAAGTCAAACTAAAACCAAAGCACAGAGAACAGATATCAAAATAAAGCTAAAGTCCAAAATAAAATCCACACCATGACAGTTTTAAAGGAATTCTAAACAAACTCAAACCAACTAAAAGTAACTATGGTGTCATGGTTTAGGTTTATTTCCTGTTTTGTTTTGTAAATTGTGGACCCTCTTCTTTAGATGTACTTCCTGTTGTCTATCATCTGTGTCTTGTCTTGTGTTTTTAAACCCTGTGTATTACTCCACTTCCTGTTCTGTCTTTGTCACTCCATGTCGGTTTTAGTTCTTGTCATCAGTCTCTGTTTGGTTTCTTCTTTTTGTGTTTTCTTTTGCATTACATTTAATTAAATTCATCATTTTTGCAGTTCTGTGTTTTGGATTGTTTTGTTTTGCCCTCGAGGCACATGTTACTAAATACTAAATAATGAAGAAATACATTTAATTTGTCTTTCCTAAACCAGATCTAAAATTAGACCATTACCATTTACCGTTAATGATTTACCCAAATGAAGACATGAATCAATGTATATTTGTTGTACATACCACCGTGGCAGAAACACTGGTCAGCTCTTTCTACCACCTCCAAAGGCATACAGAGGTGTAGCTTAAGATTACAAACCTCATTTTATAGTTTTACTCCACTATTAACCTTTGTATTGTATTGCCCCACTTAGGTAAAATCAGAACCTCTTTTTACGGGAGCCTTGGCCCAAAAGGGTGAGATTCCAAGAAGCAGGGGACAACAGAGCACCAGGAGGAAATCGACACAGACATGCGGAGAACATGCAAAATCCAAACAGAAAGACCCCAAGCCACCTTAAAATTGCTTTAGGCAAAAATGCTCACCAACTGCAGTGGAGCCATTTCACATAATGCACTTATTTTCCCAATAATTAGTATTAGTATTGTTTTGTGTGTTGTAACTGACCAAGTCCAAAAGACAGCTCAGATCCGCATTACGATGAATCTGTGCTGATCGTCTTGTACAAACTGTTCTTGTGGTTGATTTTTGGCCGTGCGCACCAGTTCTCTCGTTGACTTGTCATGGACAAACTCTGACCTTGTGAGGATTTCATGATCTACACCATAAAAGCTTTTTTGGTTCTATTGTGTCTGTGAACAAATGAGAACAGAAAAACGGTAAATTGTAAAACGGCACATGTGCAAAATACAGGAATCTATTGTTGTGAAACTCATCAAAGAAAAGCAGAGATGGAAGAAACTGGATTGCAAAAAAAAAGATTGCAAAAAAGTTTTCTCTGAGTAGAAGGTACATTTCCTGTCATTACAAATGTGTGAGTTGAATCCTTTGAATGTTACATGTCACCATCTGTCAACTGCAGACTATTATACCTGAAGCAGTCAGTGAGTCCCACCTGTCTCCATGACCCAAACTACGCTTAGATTCAGTAGGCCTCGTCCTTCGATCTCTTAACCAGGGCTCAAAACAGCAGCTTCTCACTCTCAGAGGTGTGTCTAAAGGGTATGAGCCCTTTCAGTTGAAAATGTTAGATTCAAAGTACATGAACACAAAGAGAAACAACGACCTACCAGGCGTTGACTGAATCATGTGGGTGCAGCAAGTACCAACAGCCTATAACAGTCAACGATTTTACGCTACTCACTAAGAATAACTTGCTGTTAGTCTCTGAGTTGCTGGAGCCTGACGCTGTTTTGATGAGTACTAAACATGTTTAAGCAAATGTCAGCATCCTACCATTCATGGCTGCCTGCGGACACAGGTCAGAGGTGAGACTGGCTAACCCAGGTGAAAGACCTCCTTAAGTGTTCCTCAGTGCTTCTCAATTATTTTCTTCAGACCCCTTGTCTATGACTTGTCTATACAAGTGTTATATGTACTAAACTGAATACCATCACATGGAAATTAACATTGAAGACAAAAATATATAGATCAACTTAAAATGAAGAATAACTTTATTGACATAAAGTTTAGCAGTCACTTGTTGTGGATGTGAAATTACTCTATTCTAGCCAAGCCCCAGTGACCCACGATGTCGGCCCATTCAAATGAGTGGCCTGTGCTCATGGGTGCTTGTTCACACCATGTAGGCTAAATGACAGTATAACTGACGCAGTTTTGTAATCTCTGGTCCTCCTGGTCTTGCGCTGAATCCAATGAAAATATGTTTATTGACTGCAACTGAATGAAGCTTCATGATGGCTGGGTGAGACTGAGGAGGGCAGACAACTTTGGTTGGAATTATTGACTTTTATTGGAAAAGGACCAAGACTGTCAAGAGAAACATGCGTTAGTAGACAATGTCAGTGATGGGTTGCCTCAATTGTGAAAAAGACCCCAAGATACCTTAACTGGAGAAAGGACCTCTTCACCCACCTGGAGAGGACAGGGCACTTTTTTGTTTCAAGGACCATGGCCTCGGCTGCAAAGCCTTTGTTGCCTCTGTGCTCGAACATAGTGTCTGTTATGGACAAACTGTACCTCGCACAGGAATCCAACAAACAAAAAAACTTCCTGATCTCCAAATGTAACTGGTGTTTTTATCACGGGCGTTGAAGTCCCCCAGAAGAAGGGGGTGCAATGTCCAGTAGCAATCCCAGGGACACCAAGAAGATATTCTTCACTGCTGCTTTGTCAATCTCCAGATCTTGTGCTGACTTAATCAGGACCTGAGCTAGGGAATTTGACCTAAAATGTATGATTTGATCATATGGGGGAAATTGGACATCTGAAGGAAACTCACCCCAAGACGGGTGGCCTTGATGACCCAGAAACTACTCTTGGGGCATGAAGTGTCACTTCACTCTGAAGGAGTCTCAGCTTGTGTTACTGAATACAACTTGGAATCTGCAAAGCAACTCCTGGACGGGGGTTCTTGTTACTACTTCTGTCACTGTTCCAGTCACAGTTTGTCCAACTCAACCATCAAGTTAAAAACAAGATCATCGTGTTTGTGGACAGGGCTGGCACTAACACGTCAGAGGCTGAAGAGGATGCGGTGTCATCTGACCTTCGCCTACAGTATGTGCTCTGGACACGCTGGTGAAGAGAGGGGCTAAGCTGTCATCTGAACCACCCGGTGTGGATGAGTCTGAAAGACTGATTTGATTTGGAGACAAGAGGAATTCAAAGTACATTCATTAGATCAGGGCCGGAAACATGCACTTGCTGGATGAGAATGAGCTTCTCTATATCTGAGGCCGTTGTAAGCAGCTGCACTGTTTGGGTGGGCATTCCTATTTTGCCCAAATGTTATAAAATCCCTAAGAAAGGGACATTCTAAAGCTGTTCACTGAGATTTGCCAGTTTAAATTGCTCAATTTTCACTCATATTTGGAGATGAAAGATATTTTGGCCCAAAATAGAATCCTCTAATTCGCCTTGTTCAGACAATAAAGCACTGTATCATGCTGCAGCGGTGTCGTGGATAATGAGAGGTAGAAGGGGTAGAGGTGTGGTCAAGGGGTGGTCAGGCTTGGCTCTCCTTTGTCAAACCTGGTTTAGCTCTTGTTTTCACAGATTTTGGGAGTCTTCCTCCTCTCCCTTTGACCTGTGTCAGTGATGCTGATTGGAAGTTGTGCCCGCAAAAAAGGTGGTGTGGCTGCTGCGCAGGTGTTTACACTGATGCGTGGCCCCTTTGGATGTAAACCTGACCTGATGCTCGGTCTGGTCTGAGCCGGGCGTAAGGGACATGCTTGTTTTTTCCAACATGGCAGAATTAGACACAGAGCGATTTAAACTGTGTTGTATAATGAACACAAGATATAAGATTATATTTCTTATTAATCCACTGTAGCGGAGATACAGTGACCCCTGAAAAAAAAAACTTCAAACCAAATATGGCAGTTCATTCCTGTGCGCGGCACTCTCCTCTTTGTTCCTGGAGTTGGAGGAGAGGCACGCGGATGGAGGGGCTCTCTGATTGGCTGAGCAGGCGGAGCCCCTTGTGCACCCCATCCTCATCCTGAGCCCCATGTTTCCCCCTCGCAGATACGTCTGCGAGTGTTACCATGGTTACTGTCGCACTGCCTGCCTAGCAACAGGCTTCATCCTTTCAGTGATAAAAAGAGGGGCAGTACAGGGGGAGGGCGCGTGCGATGAGGTGGCAGCATGTTTGGCTTTCAGAGTTTTCTTCCCTTTCCCTTCACAAAGAAATGTCTCGAGAAAGTCAAATATAACATACTGTCATCATGAGTTTTACTGCTTATTTTAAGCTATAAAGAAGATATTATCGCTTATATTAATACGTTTATTCTTATTCATTAAAATATTTCGTTGTAAATATTTGCAATTCATTTCCTTGTGCCTCTGTCGCCCACAGGTCTGTTTCTGTCTCTATTGCAACAGTCCTCTTAATATGCAGAGATGATTAGACTCAGTGAGTGACACACCCAGTGGATTATTATTGGATTCCACATTTCATTACAATATAACAGCGTACGCCTTCATACATTTACGAAGGCTGTAATTAGGTTCTGTGTATAGTTTCTGTAAATTTAATTCTGATATAAATATATTTTATACACCAAAGAAAATACATCATTGTTACAGTATAGTTTTGGTATTAATATAACGACCACAAGTAGGGCAGAGCGTGGTTAGTACTGTGATGGGAGACCTCTGAGAACACCAGGTGCCACAGTGGGGTGGACTAAGGACACAATGACAGTTTGGTACTGTCATTGTGTCCTTAGGCAAGGCACTTCACGCACATTGCCTGTGTGTGGGTGAAGGGTTGGTGGTCGGAGAGGCCGATGGCACACACTGGTTGCATCCCTTCTGTCTTCTGTCTGTGTGCCCCAGGGCAACTGTGGCTAAAGTGGTAGTTTATCACCACCGGGAAATTGAGTAAATTAATAATATTCAGAAAAGCACTGTACAACCGAGGCATTATTCAAGAGTCAATGACCATTCTGAGTTTAATAAGAAATTAAAGGAGACACACGTTTACATAGTTTATCACAATAATAGCAACTACTCAGAAAACCATGGTCCTGGTTCTATATAACACATACCAGTCTCTGCTGCCCTCTAGCGCCCACTAACACACTGACATCCTCGCCACTGCTGATTTTCCCTGCCACAAATGCACATCCTGTGGACTATTGCGTAACAACACATACTGTATTTAATTACATATGTGGTTAGAATGTCACATACTCACCCTGACTCCTATAATTACAGACATTTTCCTTGAGTAACTGTTGCAGATGCACCCTCAAATAATCTCTGAACTTGCCTCATGTGTTTAACTGGGAAGAACAGGCTGTCTTAGTCTCGGAAAGCCTCCACAAAAAAAGTCTATCATTAAAAAGAACAAAAGAAGGTCTTGTCTTCTGATTGTTGTTCAAATGATATAGTGCTGAATCCAGTCGTGAATGAAAAATGAAAAAGCAAGATTGAAAGTATTTTAACAAAAAGTATTTATTTTCAAATATTTCTGACAATATTTACAGAGCGAGAACATTGTGTTTTTCACCCATGCATAAACAGTAGAACCGTGTAATAATAACATAGTTCCTGAATGGTAATGGCTCCCAGATACATTTAGTATAACATCAAAACGATAAGAGTTTCACAGGTTTCACAATACAAACTCATCAGACCTGCTTCATGGGAACATGAAGTACAGGACTTGTTTTCACTTGCTATAAATCTCATTGTGTTTGTTCGGCGGGACTCTAATCCTGATTTACAGTAGGTCTATACATTTGTCACAGTGATGGAAAATAGACTATTATACACACATAATTACAGACTCGAATCTCTGTCTCAGCAAAAGCTATTATTAAACTCTGCAGAGGACAACGGGACACAATGTACAGTACATCATGAAACATATTGTATAATTGTGTGTTAGACTTTCAGATGTTCCAGGTTTACATGCACAACAAGTGGATACACAACATGTAACATCATTTTAGTGCAAAACCAAGTTCCTTTTGTAAGGTAAGGTCACAAATTTCTTACATTAACCCTGAAAATGATTTGCGATCAGTATTTGGATCCAAATTTCACAGCGTTTGTGAGAATTAAAGCTGCGGTACCTGACTTGATGGTTTTTTTAATTATTTTAAGAATTTGTCCAAACAGAAAGTCTTTTAAAAGTATAATCCAATCGGATCTTCTTCTCATGAAAAAACACAGAAAGAAAATTCTTTGGGCTAAAAGCTTTGTTGGAAAAAGCTTCATTTTTTGTTATAAAAAATCCAATCCATAAACAGGGAAAAAACAAGAAGAAAGTTAGGTACCCCAGTTTTATTTGTGATTGTGTGTGTGTCTGTTATTATTGTTTATGTCCCATTTCTAAATAAGCACAGTGATTTCATCAAACTGTTTGCTCACTTGGATTACAACATTGAAAGATTAAAAGGGGTTAAATCATGTTACACTGATTTTCTTTTTAGAATAATGACTTTAGAGTCCGACCATGGCCAGACAAAGCTTCGTAGCTAAATGTAAACACAAACTAGTCCTGCTTCTGTCCTAGACTTTGGACATGAGCTGTTCTGTGAAGAGCCTCTTGAGCTGGGCCACCTCCTCTGTCAGCGAGGAGATCTGCGACTTGAGCGTGTGGTTCTCCTGCCGATAAACGTCACTGTGTCCCGGCGACTGTCCGACCGCGGGAGAAGGAAGAGGGGAGTAGAGCGGGGACCTCCTGGCTCTCTCTTCCGCCGCCGCCTCCCCGTGGTTCACCCACTGTCCCGTCTCCATATGCGCCTTCTGCACAGCCTCCCCCGCCGGCTCGCACCCCTCCCCGTTCCCCGGCGTCTTGAAGCGCAGTTTGTGAGGGAGGTTCTTGAGGTTGTCCGTGTGCTCTATCCTGGACACGTGGGGACTGTGGAGGGCCTCGCTGGGGGAATGGTGCAGCTCGTATCCCAGCTCCTCTCCTCGATGAGGCGGGGACAGCTTCTCCATCTCGTGTAGGCGTTCGTCAAAGTAAACCGGGCTGCCCACGCTCGACCCGCCCGGTGTTGAGAACCCGGAATCTTCTGACATGTTTCCAGCCTCCCTGCTTGCCTTAGACGCTAAATGACCAATCTGACCAGTGCTGTGAATGGAGTTTGAGATATTGGCATCTCCCCTTTGAAGGTAATACTGCGAGTTTGTTTGGGTAGTCTGTGTCAGAGGGAGTATCGTGGCACTGGACGGGTCTTTGACGAGCCCAAATCGGAATTTCAACGCTAACAGCTCAGCCCTCAGCCGTGCATTCTCCTCTAAAAGTGCTAAAACCCTGCTCTCTAGGACCATATCGTTCATCCTGCGCTTCTCTCTGGAACGTTTGGCCGCTTCGTTGTTCTTCTTCCGCTTGTCCCAGTAGCCCTCATCCTTTTTGTCCTGTGGAATGAACTCTCGCTTGCGTCTGAGGCTGGAGGACGGGCTCTCCTTGCGCTTGATGGGAGCGGGACGTCCAAGAAGCGAGCGGGCCAGGAGGCTGCTGGATGTCAGCATGGATACGGTTTCGTCGGTGAAGGAGGAAGCCGCCCCCGGAGACTCCAGGGTCTGGTATGTGCTGGGTTCCTGATGGTTCCTCATCTCCTTTTCATACATGCTGCGGAAAAATGTTGAATCCACCCTGAAAATCAAAGCACAGATCAAGCATTAGGAGGTCAATTTGGACTTATTACATTGATGTACATTGCATCCTATAGGTATGTATGTTGATGCAGGCGGGTCTAAGGACATTTATGATCCGGGACATTAAAGGACATTTCTGGACATTTAACGAAATTTATGGACAGTGCTCATCCCAATGGCTTCTACGTGTTTGTCATTATTGCATTTCCTCTGTTCGAATTGTTTTATTCTCTTATCTATTGATAAATGTGAATCGAGAACTTTGTAAAGTCCTCTGAGAACACTGCTTTTGCGAGTTAGGGATTTACAAAAATACATTGAATTTAATGTAAACATCACTATCAAGAACAATTACTAACAGGGACAGTATTTGTCGTATAGCAGGACTGTGTAAGACACATTTAAAACATGGTCTTAAAATGATTTAAACTTGTCAGAAAGATACATTTAAGGGTTTTGATTTCGAAGCAGACATCCTACCTGAGTTTGAAGAAATCCTGTATCCTGTCGGTCGATCTCTGGTGCTCGGATCCAATAGAAAACGTAGCAACAGCACCACCTAGTGTACAACGCACACCTGCAGAAAAAGAGGAAAGGGATTTGGAGGTTACGTAAGTGCATTTACAACACAATATTATGCAACCCTATTACATCTGTCCAATGAAACGGGGGCAATTCGTACCATAAACTCGAATGTCTCAGCACAGCGCAATGTAGGACAATGACGTCGTAAACAGACGCCGCACGATAGAGACCAGCGCGTCATAGTTCTTCATTAAAGAACTCAAGTCATGGAGTGTATAATTGAAGCATATCGGAACGACGAGCACATTGCCAACAAGGAAGTTACAGCAAAAACGCCTAGTATTACAATTCAATTTTATTCAATGTATTTTTTGTAAAGCCATAAATCACAACCGTAGTTATCACTGAGGTCTTTCTATTCACAAACACTGATCAGAGAATCAAATAGTTCTAACACAAAGATTGCAATGAATAAAAGCATATAGCCTCATATGTCTAAGGGGCGGGTATAAATGTCCATACATTTTAATAAACGTCCATAAATGTGGTTGAATGTCAAATGTCTGGATGTATTAAAGCACCAGCCTGCATGCATGGCCACCAAAAGACGTGTCACTGGCGGATAGTTCAAACACAACATGATTAACTGCTGTATGGGCATTTTTGACTGCACAGAGTCTGACCAGTCTATACAATAATGTTACGTCTTGTCCGAATTCAAAGTTTTTAGAAATGGGGCGTCTGCATGTATAGACAACACAAATTGTTAAAAAATAAAATAAAATAAGCCCAGTCTAATGTCTAATAACTGAACAAGAAAACTCAAAATTACACAAAAATAACAAATGTTAAGAAACAAAACATTATTTATATTAGGCTCAAGCCACAGTACGCGTTTCTTTTCATTCAATTGAGGATAGTGGAGCAAGCACATGTTGCCAAATTTTCATCTGTGCGTTAATGTGCGTATATAAAACATTAAGGATGTAGAACTATAAAACTTTCTTTGAATCCCGCGTACGTACCTGTCAAGAATATTCCCCAAATATTGTTCAAAGTGCTCTAAAGCCGCTCCTCTGTACCACCGCTGCTGCTGCTGCTGCCGCTGCTGCTGTTGGTTCTCGCTCCTGTCTCTTACTTAATATGAAAGAAGGAGTGAGTAATGCGTGCGTCCCTCCGCTCTGCTCTCTCTGCTCCACTTGGACTGCAGCGGCTCCTATTTGTAACATGCAGTTCAGCCCAGGACGGGGCCTATCCTCGTCTGACCCACTCTGGCCCTGCTGTGCGTGTGTGTGTGCGCGCGTGCGTGTTTGTTTGTGCGTGTGTTTGTTTCTTCAAAATTGTGTCACAACCAAGGCAGTGTGTTAAGATTTCATAATCACACACGGGTGTATAAACACACGTACACATGCACACATACGCGCACACTCAAACACGCACGCACGCACACAGACACGTATATATTCTGACACACGCACGCACACAGAAAAATATTAGTATGTATTTGACACCCAAGTGCTCAATAAATTGTATGAAATCAGAAGAGAGCAGTTTTGTCACTAGTCTTGTGAAAACTCTGACAGGTTTGTAGTACACGTCTGTGAACTTCTGGTTATAAAACCGTCACTGTGCCAACCAGGATTCGTCTCTGAGTAACACCATACTTAAATATTAGCTTTCCAAGTATATCTAAATATTGGCTTTCTGAGTATCATCGAGCCTGACGGGCTGAAGCAGGAGTCTTCTAACTATAGTCCATCTAACGACTTCTATAGCTCTAAACAGTGGTTCTTTTATATGCATGATCTTTTTGGTTTTACCATTGTTTAAAAATGAGGAATGCCCCCATAAAGACAAACATGTGGATACATTCAACATTTGAACGAACCTAAAAATCTGTTTTCTACCAGCTGAGCTCAGGATCCACAGTTTAAAAAACATTGTCACTACAGTATCCTGTGTGTTACAGAATACTCATCCCCAAGTGCAGAGGCTGCTGCTTCTTCACATTGAGAAAATGAGACGGCTCAGGATCAACAGTAAGAAGCCAATGTCCTGATTTGGTGAAATTCTCAATTCCTGCTGAACTATGACAAAAAAGGGGGAACACCATGTCATGGAAAATTTACTATTCACAGCTTTTGACCACATCAGAGCTGTTTCCCCTTATCATTTACATACATTTACATATTCAAAGTGGTTTTCAGCGTGATTTAATTATGGTTGGGTAAATTATGTTCTGTTACACTCTGACTGTTGCTCTGACCACCGCCACAGAAAATAAACAACATTATTTATTGTGGAACACTGCTGCCCCCCACAGAGAACCTGGGCTGATGGTTTATGTACAACATCATTCTTCAAGTAATTTAATCAAAAAACACACTTATATATTTTTTTTCTATCAACATTTAACCCTAGTTATTAAACAAATAAACACTCCTCTGCCTTATGTAAGTAAATAGGTCATCTTTACCGCCAACAGGAGGAGCATGCCAGACATACGCGTTTTTAAGTGGTAGGGGAAACCGGAGCACCCAGAGGAAACAAACACTGACACAGGGAGAACATTCAAACTCCACACAGAAAGACCCCACCTGGAGGGGGAATCGAACTCTGGACTCTTTGGTTGAATCTAAACAGCTGAACTTCCATGACTAATATCCAAAATCATAATAAAGAGCCACCAGTGTCATAGATTATTAAGGCATAATTATGTCAGGCCTTTTATAACAATATAACCCATCTTTCATGTGAATTTATAGGAATTCAGGTACGTTTTCAATTCAACATATTTTGTATAGCCCATTATTCAGTTAATCTGTAAATCAGTGAAGTTTCTATTCCTAATTTTAATACATACATTTCTCGTATCTTATAAATACGGCTGTGTATGAATGGATTTTGCTCCTGAGTTTGAAAATGCTAGAACTTTCTGTACCCACTCGAACATGCATGACTCCATTGTAGTCATGTGTGACAGAGCAGGCTAAGAGATGCCATGGTTACATAAGAAGAGTCTGTTATGATTGCAGCCTGTATGTTGGACGGCTGCCAACATGAGGTTCTGCACGCTCCACCTGTCCAGAGGTCACCGCGTCTCTCATCACTTCTTCGAAAAGTCTGTTGCATTGGAAACTTATTTACTTGGACGGTTGTGTATTTCCAAGTAAGGGTTTCCATGAAGACCCTCTGGCCCCTGTGTGAGACAAATAGGAATCCGCCAGTACAGTTCAGATCATCGGCGTATATTAGAAGTAGATTGCCCGAGTGCTGACGTCACAATGTTAGCCGAATGTGAAAGAAGCCAATTTGAACAAAACCCAGCTGTAGCCAGTCTCCTTTTATGGGCATTTCACTCTGGAGAGACTCGAACAGAAAAGACAAGGGGTTTTATTAGAACTGTACATTGGTTGGTAAATATTGACACTCCATAAATTAGCACATAGACATTTATAGCATGCTTAGTGAGAAATGTGGTTAAGATTTAGCAGAACATTAAATGGTGATTGCAAAGGGGGAAATGAAATTAGAGATTATGAGATGAAACCTCAGATGGGCCTTCATCCTGGTGGTTGGAGATAGGAGAAGGGCAAAGGGGAGGAGAAGGGTTGCAGCATGAATGAAAGCTGATGCTTGAATGACGGCTCCCTGAATGCCAGAGTGACATTATCGTGCAGCAAAAGTGGGAGGACTTGAGCGCAGTGAAATAGTTCTTCTGTTGACCAGACCGAACCTCCACTTCAGTTTAATTTTGGTTAGCTAAAGTGGAGGTAGACGTGTTGCTAACATGGTTGCTGAGATAAGCTGGAGTGTACCCCACAAATGATTGGTTTGTCCTTACATGGCGAATATCTGGATTTACAATACAATATCAAAATAAAAACATCAGGATAATAGAGTGCGCTAATCCACAGATGTTGTTAAGCACAAAATGGTAAGTTTGAAATAATCGGTTACTGAGCACTTCCCCATTGAGCTTCATTGAGTTTGGCAATTGTCCAGCTTCCTTCTACGCTTCAGATCAAATTTGGTCTTTGTAGCGTAGTGTGTGAAAGCAAAGTTCAGTTAGTAAATTGTAAAATGAGTAGGGTATTACGTAAAGGGTATTACCACAGCATCCATCCATCTTGTATTTCAGCACTTTTTTTTCGTAATGATGTATTTTGTAACACTTTGCCATGTGTGAATGACTTGCACAATGCTCTGCTTCAGTTGATCTACGGATGAATGAGCCGTTTATATTTGCCATCATATAACTGGCATTTACAAATATGGACTGTAGACCTATTAACCCCATGGCACTCTCACTTAGAAATATACAACATAAAGTTCAAATGTTATGGAAAAAGAATAATCACTTTTTGGTTTAATGTATACCCAAGGAGGAAATATGCTACATTGCCAAATTTGGTCATTGAATGCTGATTTACAATTTTTTTTCCCCTTACCCATCCTCATTGACAAAAAAATAGCAGATACATTTTTCCCAATAAATATTACTATGTCCAGATTCTGGGGTGAACATGTTCTGTATGTAACTTCACAAAGGAAAGGGTGATGTCACAATCAAAGCGTGTGTTTTAAGCCTTTTGTTTCACCCAATAATACAGATGGTTAAAGACCCAGTGCCAAAATCCATCACTATTTGACGTAAATTGCCATGAAGTAAAAAAGACCTTTAATAATGTATATTTGAAAGCCTTGGTCTTTCCATTTTTTGCATTTAGACCCCGTTATTACATGTTAGCGCTGTCTTTTTTCTACTTAAACTAGGTGACGGTAAAATATTGAAAAAAATAATATTATGGCCCCGCCCTCTGACAAACAGGAAGCCCATAAATTTCACTGCCAAATGGAAAAATGAACAGCGCCACCTGCGGTGCAGTGAGTGAGTCACGGGGGGGGGGGGGGGATCACACGTTGTGGCGAGTCGCTGCGGCGTGGTGTTTTGCTTGGTGCGGGAAGTTGTAGCGGCGCAGCGAGTCGCGCGGTGCAGGGAGTCATGCTGAGCAGGGAGTCGCACGGTGCGGGGGGTCGCGCGGTGTGGCGAGGGCCGTTCGACGTCGCTTGCGGCTTTAATTTATTTTTGCTGCTGCTACTTATGTGTGTGTGTGTGTGTGTGTGTGTGTGTGGGTGTTATAACATTTCTGTATTTTTGTTTAAGCACATTTTTTGTTTGTACGTTCATCTTTGTCTGTTGATGAGTAAATAGACCCCAGGAAGAATAGCTACTGTATATTTAAGCAGCTAATGGGGATCCAAATAAAAACAGTAAGTAAGTAAGTAAGTAGTAGTAAGTACTCTTTAATCATATAGTGCTTTTTTACAGACCCAAAGCACTTTACAATTCAGACATTGTTCTATTCTCTCCACACGGTGATGACGAAAGCAAGACGCCGAACACACAGTTGCATCAAAGCCTACGACCAACACCATCCATTCACTCATTACATTCAGACCTATTGCACATATTTCTAGTGGTAATGGAAACCGGAGCACCTGAAGGAAACCTCTACGGACACAGGGTTTCCTCAAAACTCCACTCAGAAAGGCCCTGTTCTGACCGGATTCGAAACCAGGACGTTCTTACGGAAGCGAGAATGCATTTCACTCAACCACCGTGCCACCCATAAACAAACACACAAACAAACAAACAAACACAAACAGCGATAACAAAGTGCTTAAGGCTGGCACACAGGAACAAGGGTAACAACATTTCACTCACTTCCTCCACACAGGCAGCTGCTATTCCGGCTTTTGTTTGTCATGTTGGCTCAAGCAACTAATCAGCTCCAGTTTTTAGGGCATATTAAGGATGTTCTGGACACCGTCTGCAGTGTCTGAGTGTTTTCTTCCATTACGCATCCAGTAAATGGAGGGTAATGATATTAAATGAGCCATGAGTTCATAAAAGTGTAAAATCAGACTCACTTGTTTGGACTTGTCCTCAGGCACTGCTCTTATCTCTTCACTGTCTCTGTGTGATTGGTTTCACTGTCTCTGCAGTTCTGTATGGGATGTGCTATATACATAAACTGTCCTCTTCTTCTTTCTTCTTCTAAATCCAGACGTTACACTTGTAAAATCGACACCTCAGACCATTGTAAGAAGTTTGCTAGGTAATAAACAACACGCCATGTGAAAATGGTGCGAACAGAATGATGTGTTAATTGTGTTCTATTGTTTTAGTTTTTATTTTACTGCTCCACCACATAAAACATCTTTCCCATTGGGGACAATTTCGTTTTTGATGGGATTTGAGTTCAGTTGAAATAGTTTTCTGTTTGTATTATAATTGTCAATGACATAAATGTCAATGTCAGGGAGGGCGGGTTTGAGCCTGTGTGTGTGAGTGTGTGTGCGTGTGAGTGAGTTGTCTTGTCCCATACCATTGGTGGTAGATGTTGTATTGTTCTTACTGTATGTACTGTACAGTAAACATTTGTATGATGTGTTTTTACCCAGGATGTCCTGTGAGTCTGGGTGAGGGGGGTTGGATTAATATAAGCATTCTGCTTCCTCCAACCCCTTTTCAATCCCTGTACGTGTTTTTGCTTTTGTTTTGTTTTCTGTAAAATTATGTGTGCAGGTTTTGAAATAAATATTTCATTCATTCATTCATTCATTCATTCATTCAATCAGAAAGAGTTGTGTGACTGATTTAAATTAGTTCTGAGTGGATTTATTTGTCTCAATTACATTTATATCTTACTTTAAAAATCTATTCTTCCATCATAAACACATTGTCGTGTGAACTATGGAGGAGGGTTGGGCAGATTTGCTAGGGATCATTAAGGGCTTTTCTAAATTATGTATACTTTTTATTCTCTTGTACTTAATTTCAAGACTTCTCCTGTTTTGTTCATGAATGAAATCCCACAACAGACATTTGTCCTATAATTACATTCTTCAAGGGAATTTTTGTTTCTCTGCTCTAGCTTTACAGTATACAGATTTTAAAACTTGTATAGGAAAGTTTTGCGACCCCCCCAGTTGAGAACCACTCATGTGTGGTACAATAGTCCATTAAATACATAGGACACACTGGATGTCATTTAATGTATTGTTTTAGCAAAGATCTGTCCCCAATTGAATCTTTCTGTACAGTCTCATATCCTTATTCTGTACATCAGTCCTTTCTGTTAACTTCAACCTTGGAAATGCATTCTGTGAAGAAGGAAAGGCAGTGTTCAGAGTTAATACAACAGGAAGTGAGTTAAGTCACACTTGTGGTAAATGCTTGTGCAATGGTACTGTATGTAAGCCCCGTACATGGAGCGCCTTATGTGAGCGGCCGTTGTGTAAAGGCGGGGGGAGGGTTATTATAATGTGGGTCTACTGTACGCCACTATGTAAACAACAGAAGTTATATAGGCGCAAAGGCAATGAGTTCACTGTATGTAATACATGACACTGGCACAGACGGCTCTCTCGTCACTTTTATGATCTGCTGAGCTGTATCTTATATAACATCAAAATATAATTTTTTATACTATTGAAAAATCTTGACACAATAAAACCAAATGAAACAAATATGTGTGATACAAGAATGCCTAATCATTGTTCATGGGTGGAAACTTGAATTTAAATGATATATATATATTTTAATAATCATTCAGTATTTATTATATATTCAATTGTGATTGAGTTGTCAATAATTAGGTCATGAGTAGCACATTTACTATATTGATGTGTGAATAATCAACATTTGTTAATGGATTAAAAAATTAAGAAAATGTGAACTAATCATTTTTGAATGATTCTAAACACTTAGATATAACATGTCTTAATGAGTACTAGATTATTTGTTCATTAGTAAGCTATGATTAGCTAAACAGATACAAATATCACTTGTTAATATGTTGTTAATGTTTAGATGATTATTTTTGATGTGTATTAGACATTTGTACTTAGTCAATGATTACTCAACATTTATAAATGATTTATAATCAAACATTATTATAAAGAGTTACATAATAACGGTCACAGTAGATGACATTTGTCCTCACTGTGCAGCCTGTTAAGTGTTACAGGTCCCTCACAAATCCATGTGATGGATTAATGATTATTGATTCAGCTAGATAGTTTTTTCCCTAAACTTCAG